AGCACCCACTCTGGCTTTCAAGCTAAAAGTGCTGGCCCATGGGTGTAGCTGGGCTGGTGTAAATGAGGCATGCGGCACTGTTAGCATCTTCTGCTCGCATCTGAAGCTGTGAAGACCCCTCCTTCTAGCGCTGCATACTACCAGCCCCTGGCGCATTGTTTGCAAAGCAGCTGCGACAGATAGGGCTCCTAAACTAAGCTTGCATTGAAAACCTCCAGCCACCGTTCCCGCAGCAGCCCGGTGCTTCAGATCTTATTCAAATTGGGAACAGAACCACAAGAGCTGTGCAGTTGACCACACAAGCAAAAACAGGAGCTGCTGAGCTGTCTGGCCCTGAAGCTGAAGTCACTAAGGGATGGCCAAGAGGCGCATGTCTCATGACTTCTCTACTCTGAGTTTTCTCTCTGGCCTAACCAGCCTCTGTTCCTCTTCCCTTTATTCCCCCTTATCTTTATGCTGGATCCATGTTAACACACTGCAGCCACAGCACAATCGACTCAGACAGAAACCAGCACCTGAGAGCCGGGGTTGAAACCCAAAGACTTGGTTCCCAGGAGCGCAGGCAGCTCTCATGCTTGGAGGAGTAACAGCAGGTCCATGGTGCCTGCCAGAGGGCTGACGGGAGCACGTAGGGGCTGGCGATCGGGCTTTGGAAAGCTAGTGCCAGCATCCCAACAACAGGGAATCCTCAGAGGTTTAAAATCCTGATTCAAGGGAGGTTTTTCCATTAATTTCACTGACGCCAGGATTTCACCCGGAGAGTCTGATTCTAATTTCACTGTCCGTGGCTTTCCCCCACTTTAACTCAGCTGATTCCAAGGGAGTTTTTACTGATTTACACCTGCGTGTGTGAGATCCGAATCCCCCCCAGACATTCATAACAGCAGTAAAGAAAAATACAGATAGGGTCTTGCCACAGAGTTTTATACTAGTTCTGCAGCAGCACCTGGAAAGGTGTAACCATGGAAACGTGGCCTGGTCTCCTGGGGAAGGAGCAGGTAACAAGGACCCCCCAGCTTTCCCATGCAGGCAGGAGTGGGGGGAAGGAATGAACTGACATTTGAGGGGTGGGGAGAGTTTTGACCAGACTGTTCAGTTCTGGAGGCAGGAAATGGAATGTGGCAAGAGAGATTGTGCAGACAAGCTAGTATTGTGGGCAGGGCCCATCTCTGTACCTGGCACAGCGGGGCCCGGATTCCTGATTGGGGCTGTTAGGACGACTGCAATATAAATAATGAACAAGAGCTGTCACTTCCTTTGCAGGGGCCACGAACCCCGGCCCGCACACTCAGCTGAGTTGGTGTGTTGTATGTTTCTCCTCTGGCGTCCTGCTTTCTCTCTCCTCCGCACTCACCCCCTTGTGGGTGACACGCACAGAGCGTTGCATGTTTCAGTGTGTTAGAACGTAAATGCGCCTGTGTTGGCTGGTTTTATTATCTGAGAGCAGTAGCGTGGGAAGGCTGATCTACAAGTGCAAAGAACTCGCTTTGAAATCCTCCAGCCTCAGAGAAGCAGTAGAGTGGAGGAAGAAATCACAGCCCCGAAAGGGCAAACAGACTCCCCCTGCGCTCACAAGTGATTGGTCAGCTAGTCCTGCTGGAAAGTTTGGTTAGTTGCTTTAGTGCTGGGTTAACAACCCTTGAGACTGGAGTCGTCCCTTGTAGCCACAGAACAGATACGACAAGGGCAGTAGCAAACTTCCCTCCCGCTCTCCCGCCAGTCTCCA